TCCTTTAGGAAACAAGCTCCCATTATGGAAAAATTCAACCTTACAGAAAAGGAGACAGAATAATGGACCCTTAGAAGTCCTTTTAATTCTATCCAGAATTGGTTGTGCTTACAGCTGCCAAAGGTTGAGGGCACTGAATGAAAGGGAAACATGAACTTGCCGTTTCGCTTTCTTTCTTGAAACAAAAAAGAGATTCAGGGCGAATTTTAGAATCATTGACGGTTTCTAGGAAGATTTTCTTTTTTGGAAGAAAAAAGGCACTCTTGTCTCCTTAATTGTTCTTAGTGTTCTTTGTCACCAATCATGATATTCTTTGTGGAAGGTATTAATATACCATCTTCCTGTGTTCAATATTCCCATTAACAATAAAAAGTCTAATGAAAATATCTGCATGAAAAGCCCTGAGCACTAATTTCAGAGACAAACAGAAGATGAACCAATAAGCTTTTCTTCTGAAATGAATGATGCAAATTAATTGATATCTTAATTAGGCTTTAGCATGAAGACTATTAGTTCGATTGAATCAGAACTCAAGAACATCTTAAAGGAAAAGCTGAGGACATGGCAGGGAGAGAAACGTTGTGTGTCAATGCTCTGTTGGAAATCTTTTGTTCAATGAGAGATTTTTCAAAGAGGGGGCGGAGAAGGACGGCATGCTGTTTGCAGCAGTCCTTGCCTGTCCTGGTCGGGCCAGGTTCGAGGACTGACGTTCAGTCTCCAAGCTGATAGGAACCCGCGGCTGTGGCCAGCTCCTCCCTGAGAGAGCCCCTGTGCCTCAGCCTCCTTCCTCTGCTTCACTAGAGTAGAAACTCATAGAAGGCGGAGACTTCCCCTGCTGTGTTTGCATCTCTAACCCCAGTGCCAGTGTTGGTGCCTGACTTAGGAGCAGTAAGGGTGACATCACAGCCACCAACGATACATACAGCTCGCTATGTGTTCTGGGTACTGTTCTAAGCTCTTTACTTAAAACAACTCATCTGAACTCCATAACAACAGGGTGAGGAGGCAGGGGCTACTGGTAACCCCACTTTTAAAGTGAGCATATTGAAAGACAGGTTGAGTACCCTGCCCCCCAAGATCACATAGCTATACTGTCAGATTGGAGCCCAGTGGTCTGGCTCCAGAGTCCTTGCCTTTATGCTTGCAAACAATGGCCAACCCATATTTGTTGAATTAAGTGAACAAAGGGTAACATGAATGCCTGCTTCCTCCTGGTGGACTTCTCTCTGGTTTTTGTACAAGTTGTCCAGGGGTCTAGAGCTTTATCCCACCCTATAGTAGACACTTGCCAGCCTCTCTTTAAGGCAGGGAGCTGCAGATGTTTCCTGTATTCCTGAGAAATTATTTGTTTCCACCTGGATAGATGGCCCCCAAATTGTCCTTACTGAGGGGCTCCCATGGCCATGGCCCACCCACCACGCAGTTAGGTTTGTGTTCCTAATATCAAGGCCAGCCTGGGTTCCACCTCTGTGGTCACTGTGAATCACAGGACCATCATCACTTTATGTCTGTAGTGACTTTATGGTGTGCCTTATTGTTGAGGCCACTTACTGCTGAGGGTAATGATAATATATAGGACTCACTTTTTAGTTTTTTATTTTAGAGAGCATGAGCAGGGGAGAGGGGGCAGAGAGAAAGAGAATAGAGAGAAAGAGAGAGGCAGAGAGAGAGAGAGAGAGAGAGAGAGAGAGAGAATCCCAAGCAAGCTCCAAGCTCAGTGCAGAGCCTGACATGGGGCTTGATCCCACGAACCGTGAGATCATGACCTGAACTGAAATTAAGAGTTGGGTGCTCAACCGACTGAGCCACCCAGGCACCCTACTGGGTTTACATTTAGCCCAACATATTAAGGATGAGAATTCCTGAAGGGTTTGAATGTTAGCCAGGTGTATTTGATTTCCCAAGATAGCAGTCTTTGGGGAGGTTCCCTGGAAGCATCTGTCCATAAGAGGGAACCAGAAGGAGAGCCCTGGAATGGTAGGAGAACCACAGAGATTACGTTTGCCATCTTACAGAGGGCAAGGTGGCATGCTTCTTGCCACCATGGAGCTGATGGGAGAGATGTAGTGTGAACCAGACCATGTGGTATGGCCAGAAGGGTGTGCAGTTTGGAGTTGGGGGCCTTGGAATGAAGACCCACCTAGCTGAGAGACTGCATCATCCAACCTCTCCAGGCTTTGCTTTCCCACCTATAAAATGGGGATAATGCCTAGTTCACATGCCCTGATCGTGGGGATCAAAAGGAAGGGTTGAAAATGATTGTCACTTGAAAATTGCTCCCAGATGGGTGATAACAATGACCAAAGCATTCAGACTGAACTCTGTGGTCTTCCTTCAATTGGCTAAATTCCTTCTGGAAACCTGTTAAGCTTGTATGCCTCGTTCTCTCCAGACTGACGGAAGTGGTGCCTGGGAATCTGCATTTTAACACATTCACCAGTGGATTTGAACATGCTGTAATGTCTGAGACCTACTCAGCCTCAGCTAACGCCAACACAAAGGAAGTGCTTCTGGGTTTGATTAGAGCCTTCCCCTTTTTTGGCCAAGGGCCACAGCCTGAGACCTAAGTGAGCCTGGTTTTCATACTGGCCATGCAGCTAAAGGAATCTGGGGGCTGGTGGGCAGGCTGAGTGGATACAGCTGACAAGAGCTGCTGCTTCCTGCTGGACACTTGGATCAGGGAAAGTGGGTGAAAATGTGCCTGAAACCCAAGCCTCCTCCGGTCTAAGCGGGAAGGCTGGGGGCCACACCCGGGCAGGTGGCCCTGATAAGCTCTGTGGCTTAGTGGTCTTGCCGGACAGCTGCCACCTGCCACCTGCCACCTGCCACCTGCTCTGCTTCTCAGCTGGGCTGCTGAGAACCCACGTCTGCCCTGCAAAGCTTCTGTGAGAGAACTGTCCTGAGTGCATACTGGGGTGAGGGCAGTGGGTGGGGTGGGGGGCTTCAGGCTTGGAAGAGAGGCAGTGTTATGGCCCCAAGGTGCCCTCAATGCTGAAATTATCCCATCCACCATAGTTTCTGAAATCTGCCTCAGAACTGCCCAGTAGAACCCTCTTATGGACAGCCCGGTGTGTGAAGAGCTGCACTACACGTGTCATGTCTGGAGCAGTACTCCTTTCTTGAGAGTTTCTCCCCCTTATGACTGCCTGGGAATCCCAAGTATAGAAACTGGCAATGCTCTAGATTGGGGCAGGATCCAGTATTTTTCCCTTTTGTGCCTTCAGCTTCTCTCCCAGCCTTGATGGCATGAAAATCCCCCAGCTCTGCCCCTTTGCATGTTTATGGTGTTTCCAAGGCTCTTTATCAGGCTGACGGGTGGTTGGCCAGGGGAAGTGTGTTGAAGCAATGTTCCTGCTTTCCCTCAGGAGCCTGGCTCAGGCACTGTCCAAAAAGCCTGCTGGAGGCCTCCCTGGAGGGGACTCCTTCAAGGCTGTGTGTAGCCAGGACTGCCTCTGAGGATGGGCTGTCTACCTAAGCACCCCGTGAAGGGCCCATGGTCATTGGGCAGGGGTTGGTTGACAGGATAGCTTCTCCCACCAGCCCCCGACTCTAGGGGCTGTGAGAGCCCCTGCCTTGCTCAGGAGAATCAATGGATAGTTCACACCGATACCCCTTCCTCTGACCCACAGTGGGGGAAGGAAAAACACAAACTCCTTACATTTGTGGTGCTCTCTGTTTTCCAAAGTGCTCTCAGTATGCTCTCTCATTGGATTCTTGTGACAACCGTATAAAGGAGGTAACATGGTTCCCATCTTACAGACAAAGAGGAAATACCCGGAGGGACTCCGAGTGACTTATAGAGATGACGGATTTGGGAACCTGTCAAACCTAGATCCAGACTTAAGTCTTTTAGTTCTGGGTTCTCACTATCTTTTTTTGGTTAAGTTTATCTTTATTTATTTTGAGAGACAGAGACAGAGAGAGGAAGAGAAGGAGGGGCAGAGAGGGAGAGACAGAGACAGAGAGAGAGAGAGAGAGAGAGAGAGAGAGAGAGAGAGAGAGACTTGCAAGCAGACTCCGTGCAGTCAGCACAGAGCCCAACACAGGGCTCGAACTCACAAACTGCGAGATCATGACCTGAGCTGAAACCAAGAGTTGGATGCTTAACGGACTGAGCCACCCAGGTGCCCCTGGGTTCCCACTATCTTACGGCTTGATGACTATGCAAAGGCCATCTGTGAACTCTCTAGGCACAGATGCATGAACGGCTGAAGCTAGCATGGATTTTCCCAAAGTATGCGGCCAGGCGCTCATGAACAAAAGATTCACTAGGCAAATGAGGCTGGAAAATAAATGCAGATTATATAGTGCACATTAGAATATTAAAAGCACTAAAAAACCCGTCAGTGAGGAATGTGATTAATACAGTGTAGCCTGGGGTCTCCAAAACTTGTTTGGGAATACAGCCTCCCCCCTGCCCTACATAATGCCCGTTACCAACCCTCCAGATCTGTGTTCCTCAGACCTACTCCAGAAAGGATGAGCCAGAGTCCTTCACAATTATGTGATGACCAAGGGACACAGATGAGGGGAGGCCACTTGTTTCTGTACAAAGAAAAGGAGACTGCCCCTCAGCCCATCAGGAGGACCCCCTGCAGGACTCTCCCTGCCGGCTCTGCCACCTGGACCACACAGTCACCCCTGTGCCTCCGAATCCAGGCCCCTCGTGGTGGTGCGCTGGAGCCACTGTTAAATTTTCAGAAAATCTGAGTTAACCGTTAAATCATCAGTAACTTGAAATTGGCCGTGGTGGAAGTATTTACACTATAGAAATCAGCAAACACTACAAGTTAGGGCTCTCCCCACCCGGTTTACCTGTGCACCACTGATCCTGGACCTTTTTCAAAAGTGTTAGAAAACCTGGGAGGGGCTGTGACAGCTGAGTGTAGGGGGCAACCTGAGTCCCCAGCCCTCCTGAATGAGAGCTGAAAACTGCCCAGAACAGTAATCTTCCAGCTATAAGCCCAAGTGAATCAGAAAGCGCCTTCTGGCCTGCTTACCTTGATATCTGTTACCAGCCAATGTCTCCAAAATTGAGCCTTGGGGGAAGACCTGCTAGGGGCATCTGGATCCACCATCACCAGGATGTAGGTTGCACCCTGGAACAGATTCATCACAAAGAAATGTAGCACCATGACTAGAATTCTGATAGGAAAGCTGCAAGGTGCACACTCTCCTTTTATCTCTATTCCAGCCAAGAGGAGCTGACCAACCCCTACCCAGTCCATCCCCATTCTTGTGCCATTCCTCTTATGTCACGTGTTTACTCTCAGACAAGTGAAGTCTATTAAGTAGATAGTTGAAAAGTTTGGCTTTCCCTTTATGAAGAAGAATAAATCAAACAAGCATAGTTACTAAGCATCCAGAAGTCCCTAGCATCATGCTAGGTGCTGTGATGGAAGCAGAAATTTAAAAAAAATTTAATGTTTATTTATTTTTAGAGAGACAGAGACAGAGCACGAGTGGGGGAGGGGTTCACAGTATAGCTGGAGGAACTTATCTATTAATTCAGCAAACACAGGAGAACTTAGTCTGTGTCAGGAATTGTACCAATTGCAAGGAATACTAGGATTCACTCATCCCTTCAAAAAGCATTTTCTGAACACCTACTATGTGCCGGAAATTTTTCTACAGGCTAGGCATCCAACAGAGAACAAGACAGCGTGAGCCATGCTTTCAGGAAGCTTTTATTCTCGGTAAGAGACACAGATTTTTTTTTTAACTCAAAAAACAAACAAACCAAAACCACAAGGAAATGCCCAATTGTGATCAGTACTATGATTAAAACAAAATAGAGTGGGATGAGAGGGAGCAAGCATTCCAAGAAGGGCAAATAGCTGCTACAAAGGCCTTCAGATGGGAAAAAGCAAGCATTCGAGGAACAGAAAGGATACCATGTGGGAGGCACCTTGGTGGCTCAGTGGGTTGAGCTTCTGACTTTGGCTCAGGTCATGATCTCACGGTCTGTGAGTTTGAGCCCCGCATTGGCTTCTGTGCTGACAGCTCAGAGCCTGGAGCCT